TATATATATATATTGTGAATATTCTGGCACTTTCTTTGAGGAGACGTTGTTATTTACAAGCTTGTCATTGTGCTGTTGCCGTAATCCCTCTCAAGAGAAGCGTCGTCTAGAAGCGTTCCTGGGAAATTTAAATTTATTTCTTCAAATCCCTGTGGACAACTTTTTATTTTTTTACAAATGTGGTTTATTAATTTAAGGATCTGGTATTCAAGATATAGATAGATATCTTTATCATCTTTCGCTTATTGCAATGGCTATTGAGCTGGAAGAACAAATCAAATACCAGAGAGAAAAACACTGAGAAACTTCAAAATTCAGCTAACGATACAAAAATTTCTTAAAACTAAATCTATTAACTCAATCATTCCCTACCACCGAAGATAATTACCTGCAATGCATGCGGTTAGGAAGCACGCAGCGTTGCCGGCAATCATGGCCCTGACGACGATCTTGGCGATGTCGGGGCGACGGGACGGAGCCAGCGCGCCTATGCCTCCCAACTGGATGCCGATGGAGCCGATGTTGCTGAAGCCGCACAGCGCGTACGTCGCAATGATCTCAGCCCGCGGCTGTGCGCAAAATTACGATTATTTTAATATGCATCAGCGTTGGTGAATGTTTAAAAATGTGTATCATCTATATATACATAATTCTGTTATATGGATGAAAAAGAGTTTTTATTAGTTATACATATCATAATTTAACATTATTTTTTTAGTTTGAAGGTAAATTTTCCCCAAGGATGCACGACTAAGTTCAATTACAAAAATTGTGCTTTTGAGATAATACAGTGCAGTGGCCGTAACTCATGTAGCATTATTATATGCAAATTTGATATATGCTATGGAGGCTTGTCACGAGATGGTTTGAAGATACGGCGGTGCACAAATAATGAAACAAACACATGAAAGAACTTACAGACTCCTTTTGACGATCGTATTCTCGTGTGAAGCAACTAAGATTTATGAATAATGAAGTTAAGCCCTCTGATAAATATTTTTTCTACTTGATAGGGACGGTCTGAGAGAAGAGTTACCGAAATAGTTCCCGCTTTGATCATTTCGGAGAGGGACGAGTAGGCGACGAACTCGTTGACGATGGTCTTGAGTCCCAGGAGCGTCCCCACGGCATGACACTCGTCCCAAGGCACGCCCATACTCCACGCCAGCGGCATGAAGATGTACCCGAACACATTCTGCCCAGAGAATATGTGACAAGACTGTAACACTCAACGTGTCCTCACACTCATACTCCACGCCAGCGGCATGAAGATGTACTCGAACACATTCTGCCCAGAGAATATGTGACAAGACTGTAACACTCAACGTGTCCCCACACTCACTCCACGCCATCGGCATGAAGATGTACTCGAACACATTCTGCCCACAGAATATGTGACAAGACTGTAACACTCAACGTGTCCTCACACTCACTTCACGCTAGCGGCATGAAGATGTACCCGAACACATTCTGCCCTATGAATGTGATAATTTGTTGGAGGCACTGCGAAAAGCCTGTTCTACTTTCTTATTATTTGTTTTGAGTTCAAATGTCCACGTAAGAATCAAGAAACATCAAGAAACAATAAAATTCAAGACATGTGAGTCTGACTGCAACAAACCTAGAATAACTATAAGCTGTGTGTAGCGACTCATAAGCTGACGCCTTGACGTTACCCAAATTTTGTAATCGCTGTCTTTGGTCCATATGTCTGGTACTCTTACTTCTAGCGTGCAGACGCCTTCTTCAGCACCGACGAGCACACAGGACCAGTCGAAGACGGCGTTGAAGAAGGCGATGAAGGCGATGAAGGTGATGAGGTTCGCTGCGATGTTGGCCACCAGAGGCAGCGCGGCTACCACACCCTCGACAGCAGCGTGTAGGACGTTGGCTTCTTCGCTGAAATGACAAATGATTACAAGTCATAAATATTACTTTCTGCTTCGATTTTTTAATGGTAACTTATGAATCCTTTCTTTTATTAGTCAATTATTCATGAGTTATAAAATTAACAAAAAGTCTTGCTGTCTAATTGCTCGTTAATGATTGTCTTCGTCACCTCCAATTTTGAGGACGTAAAGTTTATTATATGGCTTTTGGCTCAACTATCCTCTATCTGTTGAATTATGGTATAAAAATCAGTATCGAACGAGATGTCTGATCCCCCTATTGAGGGGTTTAAATGCCGGCCACGGGGGATGAGGTTTACACTCGTATATAATTTTGGGATAATTCGGCACTATCCCGGTAAAATAGGCAAACTTCAGTATATATCTGATTTCGATCTCGTCTGTAGAACTAAATTTTTAATTTGTTTTCCATAAATATTACTTGAAGATATTGCATCAAGTCGAGCTATGTTCAACTGAGTTAAAGAATTTCATAGGCATCAAGCAAGCTTGAAGGCTTAGGGCGTCTAGAAAGTCAGACCATCGACTGACCTCTTAACGATAGGAATATCATTGATTGTTGTCTTGCTGACTTCGGTCTCTGGGTAAAAGAGCTTGGAGTCAAGCAAGCTAAAGGGTGTCCTGAGAGACAGACCATCAACTGACCTCTTTACGATGGGAATATCATTGATTGTTGTCTTGCTGACTTCGGTCTCTGGGTAGAAGAGCTTGGAGTACGCGAGCGCTGCTGGGGCGCTCATGACGGAGGCGCTGAGGAGGTGCGACGCCGAGACCCCGAAGCTGATGTAGGCGGCCATCACCGAGCCCGCGATGGTGGCAAAGCCGCCGGTCATCACCGCGTGCAGCTCCGACATCGTCATCAGGTGGATGAAAGGGCGGATCAGCAACGGCGCTTCTGTCTGAGGTAACATGAGTATATTTCAACAAAAGGGGTAATAAATCATCTACAAAACTTGCGCATTCGGTAGTAGGCAGTGTAAAATTCCAATGTTTTACAAGTTAATTTTACTGTTCTGTCAGCAATATAGAGTTACTTAAAATATTAATCTATTACGCATGTTAACCAGAAAATTCTTGCGGAGAAACATCTTTCCCAATAAATTATATGGTTCTCGATGCCAGAAAGCTCATGCCTGTCCAAGGAAGATGTTTGCGGAAGCGTTGACGCTTTCGCACGCCGTCGTGCCGATGGAGACTTGCAGGAGCCAGCCAAGCTTGAGGACAACCCATTGCATGATGCCGTAATAATAAAGAATTTGAATGCAGAAACTAAAGAACAAAGTCACCGGTAGCACCTGCGAGAGAATTGTTCAAAATCAACAAGATGAGTTGAAATTTGTGAAGGTAGAAATTAGCGAATATTAGACTAATTATATTGTTTATTTGAACTATAGAGGCAATACATGGAAAGAATTTTTATATCTATTAAAAAATAATTATCTGCCGGCTTCATTTACCGTTCAAAAATATATGTAACTACAAGGCCAATGTCTAGAAGTTGCATCATGCTAATAAAATTTATAAAAGAACCAAAATTGAATTTCATTCCCTCAGCAAACCTTGAATGCAAAGATTCCACCATCATCGACCACAAGTAGATCTCCGAAGACGAACTTTGAGCCTTCGTCGGTGAATGCGAGAAATTCAGCCACCTTATCCCCCAGGCACTCAAAAAGTTTGCGTCCAACCGGCCATCTGGAGTGCTTGCGATGACGGAAGCAAAAATAGAGTTCCAGCAAAAATTGCAAATTTTACTAGCAAAAATTGTAAACGGCGAATAGAAATGAATTCAAATTAGTAATGCGAGTGCTGATAACGGACAGCATATTCCCTATATCGAGTCCATCTGACATATAGCATGACGAGATTGTGTCTCAGGAAAAAAAATTGTGCGTTCTAACTTTCTAACTGCCATTGTAAAGATTAAGATTGATCAGAGCAATTCAATCAGTGCAAAAAATGCCAAATACAGGGAATCGTTGGTTTCAGTAAATCAATCTCTGTCACCTGAGAATGAGGAGGCCCAGAATGAACTGGAGGGCGAGGCCCCAAAGGACTTGTCTCCAGATGACTTTTCTGGGCGCGAATGAGAAGACAAAGCCCAGGAAAATGAGTAAGAAGAGGCCCACCAATGACTGGAGACGTCTACGGTCACCGCTTGTGTCGAAAACGAAGAACAGCACAAGAGCGGCTATCAGCACCAAGTACGTTCCCCATCGCACCATTCTGCAAGTATTAAGATCACTTGATTGCTTAAATCATAATTTTATCAAGAATTAGAAGAGAAGAAAACCGCCAGAAAATTTACCATTTCGAATGAGATAAAACGTTTCGGGGTCCAGATCCATCATGAGTTCAAAAACCTAGAGCACAAGTATAAGCAATTAGTAAAATAAAATTCACTATGAGGATATTAAAGATATTTATTAGGAGGTCGTACCTTTTTATGACATAAACATTATAGTTTCATATAGTTGACTGGGCCTTTTTCTCGTGAATAGGATCGAATTCTTCAATATTTTAAGCTTTGATTCTGAACAGAGAGTTTGGGAAAGAGGCTTAAATGTACTTTCACATGAAACAATAAAGTTTCTTTTTTTAACCTTTTTCGTTATTTAGTTACCGCTGATGAAATGGGTTATTGATTGAAATCACTGACGTTAGTTGTAAAAAAACTTCCTTAAGAGACCATAATAAACTGCAATGTTGATCAATTGCTCAAACTTGATTGCTTGCATTGAATGAGTATTAAATGCGCAGGCAAGTAATTATTGTAATTTTTTGTCAAAATAAGTTTCAGGTCTTCAGACTACGTCATGGCTGTAACAAACACAAAAAAAATGAGAAAAACGCATACAAATTAAAAAATATAACTCAGTACGCACTGCAGTGAGTGACAGAGAGCGCATTTTCTCGACGACGAAAACGCGAAGTCACGGCCGGATGGACAGACAGACGGACGGACATGGCGAGCACAATAGTGCATTTTTGCCATAAATGAGAAAATGCGCTAAAAATAGTTAGAGTCAAACCATGCATTTGAGGCTGTAGATATTCAAATATTGTGATTGAAAACATTTTCGCCATAAACATGACACTGAGCAGCAGAACAACGTGTCATGTGGAGTATTAAATAATTTTAGCGCAATTTGAGGAAGAATATCGGTACTGTGATAAACGTTTCAATCTGGACGACAGTTTTAAAGCCAGAAGTGATTTTAGCTTATCTAAAAAATAGTAGACCTTTATTTTGATCGGCTTAAAATTTGAACATTTTATCAATTTTGTGATCAAAACCCTTATTCTAGTGTAGTTGTGTTGTGCGACTGGAAGCTCGGGTTCCTACTAAATATTTCATTACTTATATGCGTTTGGGTGCCGTAAGTGAAATAACTAATGAGAAGTCAACGAAGACAAAATGTAGATTCTCGATAGAAATGATCATCGTGGTTTCAACTAGTCACAGTTTATCGGAGCCACGCAAAAAATATTATTTCTCTTACAACTCAGTTAAGTGTGCAAAGCCCAAACGATCAACAAGCAATTCTCTGTCACCTGAGACATCCTCTGTCAAATAGCATCCGGATTAGTAAAAAGAGTTTAATGGAAATATAATGTCATACGAATTCCTCAAATACAGAAGATTGAACAATAACTGAATTACTTACTTGATCTTCCACACCATTTCATATTTAGCGTCGAGGGGTTCCACAACCGAGTGGTAAAGTTGCTCGCCGTAGAATTGCTTCACAATCTAGAAAAAAAATTATTAGAGATACCTCCTGGTAAATATGAGCTTCAATCAATCGTTCGGTAGGAAATTTAAGATGAAATATTGGTAAAATTCTAAATGAATGTTGATAGTTACATCGCATTGAAATATAGATTACATTCAAAAATTTCCATCTGGCTTCTACGTATATAGAAGTGAAATGTTCGTAGGAAAAATAACAAGAGTCTCAATATAAAAGTTTGTATACATACTTCACACTCTGACTGAAACTTTAGATTAATTATTTTTTAAATTATCTACTATATAAGAAGCTAATTTAACCAAAGGCAAATTAGCGCTATATGAAAGCTTTTGAACGCACCCGCAAGTCCATACATCAGGACTTGAAACCATTTTATGCTCTTTTATGACCAGTAATACGATCACAAACTACAACTCGAGGGTAAAAGAAAATATCACTAATATTCTCGGGCATATTCTGCCGTCTGTTGTAGACAAAAGTGAGAGGTATATGAGGAGGAGTTTCAGACAACTGTTATATTAGCTCAGGTGAGTTGATATTAGACAGGTGAACGTTGTCAGAGCCTCTAAGCTGGCTTTGTTCACGCATTGAAGTGTTGAAGGCGAATTTTTTTTACTGATTTTTCATTCTTATTTTAACTTTATTTAGTGATGGCGAATATCTGGTGAAGTTTTTAGTACGTTTTTCAACAATCGTTTGATCAATAACTGTAGTTGCGCAAAAAAGCTGCATAAGGACAAGTTTACTTAGCAAACCTCTCGAAGATTTCAATTAAAAATTAGATAGCAGAATTTGATTCTTTAAATAAACTCGTTTAATGAACAGTGAAAGCATTTGATTAAAATTTTCAGGTAGGCTAACAATTGTTTCGACGAAGTTGGGCGATCAAAATGACAGGCTTCTGAAACTACTTTTAATATATTAACGGCTTCGTAAGTAAAAAACTTCACTCGCAAGTTAGAAGAAACATTGATTAATGAAACTGTGTTAGCCACAAGTATAAAATGCACGAAAAAGGATACAATTCAAACATTGTAACCAAAAAAATACTTATAAAACATTCTCAAATTTGTGACAGCGATCTTACAACTCACCAGAAAATATAACATCATGATGGCAGTGCATCCTGTGATGACGAGCAGCAGACCGTCGCCCTCACACCAGTAGTCGCCGCGGTCCAAGTCCGTGACCGTGAAAAGCGCCGTGATGAAGTACCCGCTGAACGCCAGCGTCAGAGCCACGTAGAAACTCTGCTCCAGCCGCTGGTAGAAGTGCGTGCGCTGTCGACATGGGAGCGGGTTTTCCAGTGGCAAAATGTGTTTGTATTGATTAAAGTTTGAGTGCGTGTATGCAATAATAGATGTTTTGTAATCGATGAAAAAGATATCCAAGTTTGAATGTGATGATTGCAAAGATAAGCTTGGATTTTAAGCTTTCTAAAAAGTTCTAGCTGGTAATAAATTCCAGTTTCCAACAAACAAGTATTGACAGAAAAAAAAAATTAGACTGCTTTAGATATAACATAGGAAACGTTCTTGCAATGAGATTTAATACGTCATTTTGATATATATTTTATTTTACCTCCGCGAACTCATTAAAATCATTCCGTTTTTCTCTGTATCCCGGAATGATGAGCGAGAGTATGCCGTAGTCCGGCTCCTCAGTGACGTCATCGGAAGTAGGCACCACATGGTCGCTCAGCTTCCGGTGCCTGACTTCGTTTGCTGCGGTGTCGTCCGCACTGAAGCGCTGCTCGAAGATGCAGAAATTATTGCATTAAATCCGAGTTAATTATTCTCATTCAGCTTATCTCAAGCAGAATAATCTTAACTTACCAAAAAACAGTTAAAAAGTATTTTTAAACTCAAATTAATTGTTAACCGTTCTAATTTTTGTGTAATTTGGTTTTTAGTTGTTAACTGTAGGAAAACATTTTCGTAAAATGAACAGTGAGCTTAGGTATGAGACTCACTTTTCCTTCCTGAGTTACGGATTTCAGTTCCACGTCATCCACCGACGTGAGGTCATCGGGTACAAAGCCAGGATTGTGTGTCATATTTTAACTGAAAAATAATTACAGAACGTAAATAAATCACCTCTAATTCAACTGGAAACTTTATGGGATAAACCTAAAATAAAGAGAAACTTTCCTCACAGAAATATTTATTTAGAGAAACTTTCCTCACAGAAATATTTATTTAGAGAAACTTTCCTCACAGAAATATTTTCTATTAATTTAAGATAGTGAATCGTAATGTAGCTACTTAAACCTAAGCAACTATAGCAACCTCACTATTCAATACTATTCTAGCAATCTCGAAGAGAGAGCAGTTACAAACATAGTCCAATATGAACACTAGACCACTTGACAAAGAAAGATGAGTGAGAACTGATTGTGCATCTTATGAACAGAAATTAATCTATCTCAAATAAATTAAAAACGTTAAGACAATTAATCATTAGTCTGTGTCTAATGTAAAATTTAAGTGTTTGCAAAAGGAGGTCTGCTTGATTTCCGCAGTATAACATATAACTGGGGTTTTAAAAAAGTTTTGTTTTGGAAATAATTCTTAGATATATGTGAAATTTGAAGAGATTTTCTAGTTCAATAAATTGTATAAAGTTAGAGTAGGAGTTAGTTTTTGCAGACGGAAAACAGTTATTTTTATAAGTTATCTACTAATAATAGATGTATAGATTTATAACATGCGAATACTAATAATCGATGTATAGATCTATAGATTTATAACATGCGATAAATCATAGCGGAAAAAATTTACGTTTTTCTAGGTGATCGTAAGGCAGCGCTTGTTCATTGTAAGTTGAGATGCCAGCAAGGTTTCTACGAGCTTCCTAAAGGAAATTCCCAACCTTAGGGAAAACACAAATTGAAATGTTTTCATACATGGATTCATGTTGTCGTACGGATGAGACACTGACCGGAAAACTATAACGAATGTTGCCAACATTTGAGAACAATCGGGATGCAACTCACATTGCAATGAGCCTTGCAAGTTAACTGTAGAACAGCGAATGTAACAAAGTGTTGCAGATGACAAAAGGAACCTTTATCAGCTTCACACCTCCATTCCACCAAAAACACGTCACGAATTACGTGAATAACAATACATACTGAACGTTATCTTTAATGTCTGTTATGAATATCAATGATAACGAGTAACAGACCGGTCGGGTTAACGGGTCTCATTTTTATATTCAATTCCAATAAACATAGGTGAACGTGCTGAGCATTCGGAGTAGTCCTTCTATGAGCTATGAAGTTTTGTAATCTGTTCAATCCTTTGTATAATAGCAATTCAAGCAATCAAGCCTTCAGGTGACCTCAATATATATATAAATATTTTATTAACCTCTTTTTATTTACTGCAGTGTTGGTTACTATGCCTATTTGCGTACGAATAGCATCGATGACAATTGATTTATCCGAAGTCACAGAGCTAAGCCTCTGTCTATAGAATGTACTTCTAATTACATGAATTTTGTTTACCAAGAACATTGATGACGGTTAATATGTCTGTGGACAATGAGATTATTATGCAAAGGAAAATAAAATGTAATTATTAAGTCTGTTACAAGAGTTTTCTTCATCTATGGTCAATGAGAATTATGCAGTCTGCTTTGAACACTAAATCACCAAGCAAGAATCTTAAAATTAAAGCCATTAATCGATCGTAAATAATGTGTTTGTAAATAAATCATGCAAAAGGAAAGGAGGAACCGAAAATAAAATATTGCAATTTTATTTTCACGTTTTTCATATGTTAACGGTCATGATAAAGGACGTAAAAGTATAATATACAGTCGAGAAATTGAACAATGAGATAGAACATTATCAGCATATTAATGAAACTGATATCAGGTACTGCCAAGAAATCGAAGAAGATCGCACCGTAGCAAAATTCACATCAAGCTAAATATATTCGCACCCAAAATTATCATTCACCATGTATAGTAAGCGCTAAATCGCGAACAAGCTTTGCAGTCAAACAATTAAAGCCTGCTGTCATTGTTTTACCCCGTTCATCTGGTCACTAGGCCGCTGATTGATTGCTACAGACACGTTTAAGGTAATTTTTTTTCTTTACGACAATCTTTACGCAACACGAAAAAATGTCAAAAGCTGCCGACGATTATTGGCACGGATGGAATACCTTTAAACTATAATATTGAATTATTTTATTAAAAAATAAATCTGTCATGTAATCATACAAAACAAACCGTAGAACAATAACGAGACGTAAACAATTGTCGGATGACAGTGTATGCAGAGCTCTATCTCTTCCGGTCGTTCAGCTGCTGTATCTCTTTTATCTCTTCTGGTCGTTCAGTAGCTCGAAATTTTTCGTGCGTCATGCGGAACGCTAGCATTGCAACTATTGTACTAGCATGTAATTTGTGATTTACTTGTAGCGATGTCATCGTGACGTAACTGATCTGTTACGTTGAATTGTTAGCTTATTATTTGGTGCGCAATCGGTATAATAATACTGTATCTCCATGAAATAATAATTTGTAAATTACCTCAATTACTACGCATCTGTAAATAGTTTTTTAATTTTTAAAAATTCATAAGTCATCATTTATAATTAGCAATCTATAACCATCGGATGGCTAGATATTTTTACATAGTTGTAAATATGTAGGCAACATAAAGAGAATATTAATTAATTTATTAGTAATCCACTTTGGAAATAAACAACAGCGGCGTTGAAAATAGACCACGGGATTCTTTTCCATGCATAGCACGGGTCAGATTCAGGACTCAGTCCTGAATTAAGTTGATTGAGTCTCACTTACGGTTTCTGAGTGTGAAGGCAGACGTTAAATTTTCTCCAGCTCCTGAAACTGTCGCAGCTGCACGGAAGTATGCAAGATATGGCTTGTGAGTACTCCACGATTTCTAAACGAAGGGTAAAATCTTGGAATTATTGAAGCGATGGATTTAATGTTGAATGTCATTCGTGTAAAAATTTCTAAATAAGTTGACTAATTTTAGTAGATAAATTTTCCCAAATTTTTATTGCTCTACTAATCATATTTATTTTAACCCGTTGAAGAAGTGGTTTAATTTAATCAATTCTGTAAGCAAGGCACATGATGGCTGGCATGCATCATAAATGTTTATAAATTCCGTTATTACCAAACACTTGCATTCAACACCAAGTTTTTCTTACTTGCATTGAGAAGGCAGATAAGTGAAAACACACGCTTACCATTCACTAAATTGAACGTTCTAACTGTCGTTATCTCCAAAGGACGAAGACATCACGATGCCCAAAGTTGAATTTTGATTCATATTGTTTTTAGTATAATTATTTAAAGTATTTTCTATGCATTAACGTCTAATTAAATGATGTCTTTTTTCTTGACTCTACTAGCTTAAGCGAATGTCAAAGCATTATTCATTTTCCTTCATGTTCTAAGCAAAATAAATTACAATATCCTGACATTCAAGCATCTTATCATTCCAACATCACACCAGACCAAAGTCTTGTTTTAAAAAAATTTGCATTGCAACATCTCGACGCTTCAACATTCCCAAATCTTCGTCATTCCCGAATCTTGAGATTTTAACATCTCGTTATTCCAACATCTCGACCTCCCAACATCTGGTCTAACAACATCTCGCCGTTCCTATAGCTGGTAATTCCAACATCTGGTCATTCCTACATCTGGTCATTCCAACATCTGGTCATTCCTTCATCTGGTCAATCCGAAATCTGGTCATTCCTTCATCTGGTCATTCCTACATCTGGTCATTCCGAAATCTGGTCATTCCAAAATCTTAACATAGATAAAGCTTTTTATCCATAACGATCTCCTCTACAAAGAAACAACAATGATTCACGACTGCCACATATGCCCCATCACTTCAGGGCAACATCAACTGAACGATATATCTGCAAGATGTTCCAACACCGAGCAGAGAGCCACAACAGATAAGAAAATTGTTATTTGATGCAGATAAGGACCCTGATCAAACTCGATTCTCATGAGATAACTGAACAGTTTTAATATATTTTATACTTTTTAAGAAATGACAGTGCGCACTATTACCTTCTTTGGCATGCAAAACAAAGCTAGGATTACACGTATTATTCAATTAACCAAATCAAAGTTACAAAAAGCACACGAAAGCGAGAAAATCACGACGGTAACTTATGAAGGAAATCAATAAAATAACTTTAAAAAACTTTTTAAAAAACCACGTTTTTCGTGTGAACTAAAAAGTAGAAAATAAATTATGGTTCGCCCCAAAAAAACGTGTGTCGGGCAGATTTATGATTAAAGCGAAAAGCACACAACACTTAAATTTTAATCTGAAATTGTTAGGCGAAAATAGCCTGCATGCCGAATTTCAGATCTCTAGAACAATCAGAAGTGGGCTAATTTTCGTTGTCAATGTTAACAACAAACAAACAAACAAATAAACAAACAAACAAACGCGAAGCTAAGCTAAGAAAAACGTGTTAATAAGGACTCATCAAGATATAACGCCTTAAATTAATGTAGAAAGAATTATGTATAACTAACCAATTTAATTTATTAGTAATATCAATGAATATAAAAGTATAAAGATTATAGTATTCCAAGCTGTTCACCTGCTCAGTGCGGGTGAACTAGATCGACAAATTGCTTCAAAAAGCCCAACACTGAGGACAGTGCCGAGACTAAAGAAACTCTATTACAGAAGTCTTGACGGTCCTCGCATACAATGCATTATAACGAAATGCAACGCTGGATAAGAGTCATCCAATAAGATATGTAGTTCGTGGGCTTCACAGAAATACTTTTGGGATCTTTGATGGCGATCACGTTGCTTAATAATGATCGATTATTATTAGTGTTTGATTATGGAATAATTAACGACTCAGAATAATTGCGTTTGAAAAGATTTTATGTGGGAACAACTTGATGATTTATTTAGGCAGTAATGCATCATACTTATCAATAAGTGTATGATAAGCCTTATCTTCGTTGCACTTGGCCTCCTATCAATCACTCACAACAAGTTGAATCTATCAAATGATTGAAACTCAAATTTTTATGCAGGTCTATTAATGAAGATTTTTAATTACATGAAATTATTTATCAAGTTACATGACGGATTTCAACATTGAGATTTTCAGGTTAAATTATTTACGTAGTAATTGAAAAAATAAAACTCATTCGATGGATTTAATGTATCAAAATATTAATCCTAATTAAAAATTAGTGATCATACCAATATTCACAAGGTCATTAAGAGGTTTGTATGATTGACAGATATATTCAATACCCAGAAATATGAATTTAAGTAGTCCAAGGACAGCACAATCTTCATACACCCCTGCATGGTTGACATTAAAATTTGCTCTGAAATAATGTGTGTGATGTTGTGAGGGTAGACAAATGGCCGTGCGACCGCATATCAGAGGCACGTTATCATCGAGGCCACTCATGCTACCTGCTGGACAATCCACGGCTGACCTCGACGCATCCATCATCTGCGTACGTTACGTCGACGACGTCATCAATACTTCATGCATTATGAAAATAATATTGCATGAAAAATTACTTGAAAGTTAGAATCGTAATCGTAAGCGTAATCCAACGTGGCCTGGGACTGCTACGTCCGAAACAGATACAACGGATACTTTTTTTACCTCCGTCCGTTGTGAAAATTTATGCTTGCTTGATACAGCATTCAAAGTACTTTCCAATGCTGTACTATATAACATTTTTTTATTCAGTATTCGAGTCAGTATTTTTTCAATTGATCTAAGGAAACATTTTAAATATGTTTCAATTCACCGTCCGTGGCTGCCTGAGCTGACAATGGAATAGAGGCGAACATTCCAGTTTGACGGGTTTCAGATTTTTTCATTTGAGATGCGAAGTTGTTTCCTTTCTCCGGACGAATTGTTAGTAAAATTTTAGTTATTCATTGTACATATTATTTTTTCCAAATTCCATTTACGGTGATCAGTATTTTTCAAAGTATTTAAAGTAAATCGTATTTTTAAAGGGGAAACTGCTTGTGATTGTTTGTAACCTTCATTGACTCGTGTAATGACGCACTAAACGGCAACAATTTTGTTCTAGGAAAATCAAGTTAAAATTTTTACATGAAACAACAAAGAAATATTTTTCGTTAGACATCCGAGACAAGACGGAAATTTTTTATACTGATGCATTCAAATGTCATTCATTTTATCTAACATTGTGAGACAAATATATTATCCAGCTAAATTTATGACCACAAGCAATTAAGAAGCGGACATTTTATGAAATACTTGAGAGTTTAACTTTTCCTTCTCAATAACTGAAAACCACACGTAACTTTCACTCATTTTTGTTACGCAACGCGCCTGACACACGACCATTCACTCTGGGAGCTTAGGTGCAACTGATGCAGCAGGGTTGCCGCAACCGCTCCAAACACTGGGCTTCCAAGAGAACAAAATTCGTATCGTACCTGCAGATCGTTCTCGCAGGTTCCGGGAATCAGTAATCAGTGAACGAAGTCGAATTTAGTTATCGATTTCTCGTACTGCTGTTATCTATATTGTACTTACTTTCCTATTCATGAACAAATTACGTATATTTCTTCCGATGCCATGTTTTTCTCAAATTTCCCGATTCCATTCTACTCACATTGTTTCGGAAGTGCACAAAATTGTTAACAAAGAGTTTTGGTTTCGTAAAAATTACCCACAAAATCAATTAAAATATAATTTAACACTTAATTCGCTAATACTCTCAAACGAAATAGATGAAAATTTATTGCAAATTCACGTTTCTTGTGTTGCGTTTCAGCGGACAACTTACTGACCCCTTGAACTTTGTATCGTACTGAGACCGCGCTGCCTTGACGCGCTGAGACAGCGCACGTCATTGGCCGCTTCAACCGAGGGTTTGTCTCTGCTCTATGTCTCTGGCAATCGCGAGTATGCGGACATTCACTACCAGCATGTAGCACCCCAAAAATATTAATTAGTTCTGGCCTCAAAGATAATTAGGCACGATATTCTCCCCATGACCTCAATCCAAATGAACTTTTCCCGTTTGGAAGACATCCACTCATGCTTCTTTGAACCAGTTTTCAGTCCGAACTTCTATAGATACAAATACATAATTTGGTGGGTAATATTGAGCATTGAAATGAAATGTATGGTATAAATTTTGGCTTCCTTCACATCTTTATTACAAACGTTTCGGGTATTTTCCCAGTCGCAAAACACTGGGATTAACAGACAACTCTTACCGGGACGCTTAATTCCCCTGAAATCTCTGGCACGCTTGTGCGATGCACAGCTAATTTAAGTGATGGTGCGACTTCATTATCCACGCGCCTTGAACAAAATCAAGAGATTCTGGGGGACGAGAAGCGCAAAATCCACGCAGATGGATGCGAATTTAATTTTAGGAGTGCAAGTATCTGAGCATTAGAATGCTTCAAATATACGTATTTTTATTTTATTTTGAGGCATGGTTTGGTGCAGTTATGATTGCTTGATAATTTTGTCGATGAAAGAGAAGGACGAACTTGTCCATTAATTTGATATATGAGGTTATCAAGCGCAATGGCGTACAGACTAATTATTTTATATGCTTTTTCAGTTCACGTTTGAAGATTGAGGATTCATCGCATTATTACAAGTAGTATTTTTCTCGTGTTAAATTCAAATTGAATTATCACTGAAATAATAAATACATCCTGTCAGTTCGGTCACATTGGGCATCAAGGGTTAAGTTAATAGATTGTGTCTCTTAATTTAAATTTGTAACTTACTCTATTGATCATGAATGTGAGTAGTTGAAATTATAATTGAGAGAGGCAACATTATCTTACAACGCTATCCATGACGTCAATGTTATTGTTATTATAACTAGATTATTTAGTGAATGATACATCAAAAGTTGGCTCCAAACAAATTTATGCCTTAATCTTGATAATTTCAACAACAGTTGAAACCCTCGAATGGAGAAGTATATATATATATAGTTATTCCTCAATGAGGGTAAAGAAAGACATACGTAGGCGGGTGCGCTAACTCTTTTTATTAATTAAAGATCATCATTTGAGCACAATATGTTTCAAGCACTCGTGAATTTCCTATAAAAACTTCGGGGCAAAATTTATAAAATTAAATTTCGAAAATCAATCAAACTTGATAACTCTATAAAAAAGTTTTTAATTTAGATGAAAAAGTTTTCTATTCTCTGGCGAAGAAACTTCACATACTATCGACACAAGAGCGCTTATCCTATCCAATATCGCGGATGCAAAATTGGTGTCGTATATCAAGGACAAAAATAAAATTAGATACTTTAACAGCCTTTGCATCAAAGAATTTGGCTTGTCCTGCAATATCGTCAAACCAAAACCGCCGAATTAAGTGTACCTCAAACTACCATCACGTAGTTTGCACGTAGCGTCGCCGTAAAAATTCGCTTAAAACGCTAACAGCGAAATCCACTCACCCAAAATAAATTAGTTATTCCAAAAAGACGAGAAATCTTAGTGTTTCATCCAGTTCATGTTTAATTCGTATTACTGATTTGTCCCCTCCAGATATGCCAGGTATCAGCAACAGTGCACGACGTGCGGTGCAACACTCTAGCTATTGCGTTCTGATAACTTTCCTAAAATAAATGGATTGATCGTGCGAAATTCGGCCACAAATCCATGCCCGTGTTCCAATACAAAAATTTTTGGTGTTTCTGTTTATGTTATCAATGCTACAGTGAAATCAGCTTATTGCCAATATTTCTATGTGCGGTGTAATGTTCTAGCACTATCAATGTTTTTTTTTCTCAGAATTCTGTCATTGGAGTGCTGATACCTTTTAAATGATTTTCTGTGAATCAGGATTCATGATTATCTTCCAGGAACTATTCCATCGTTTCCGGATATTCCGATCTACAGTTCCTCACACACGGCAGCGGTGGTGATAGCCAACGGGTAGTCAAGACACGCGATCCAGTAGAGGTTGAAGTAAGTTGAAATCAGGCAGTGTTGAACGTCAAATTCGTACTTCGGAGGGGCACGAAAAAGTGACGTGTCTACGAGCTTCGAGTCGTGGGTGAAGATTTGTTCGTAATTGGGCATCTTGGTTGCATCCACGGCTACGATCCCTCGAGCTGCGACGATGTTCGCGTCCCGGAGTGTGGTCGGGACGCGTAGAAGCGTGACAGTTTTATGCGCCTTGCAGAGGTTCAGGTAGTCGCTTGAAAAAGAAGTAGATTATTTAATTACGGATTGGTAGCACGGACAGGACAAATGTTTAGTATCGTATCACAGTTGCAAAACGGAAGCTCACAAGTTGAAGTGGTCACCAAATGCATCAGGAAAAATGAGACTGCGATCTACGAGATGAGCCTAAAAATACTACAGCTGGTTTTAACATTGATAGGTTAGTTCTGGTTTGCGCAATCGTTGCTGATGCAAGAAAGTGAACAAGTTATCCATTGATTTGTTTAAACATCATAAGTAATATTGCTATTATTATGAATCAGCTTGAATAAAAAATTGATGGGAATATAAGGTTATTGTATCAGGAATGGATGAACAGATGGAGCTCATAATCTCAATTATTTCCACTTCAATATGGTTCGAGCGCTTCCTCATGATCATAGCGATAAACCAACTTCGCAATAAGTTAGTCATTTCATCACTCTCTCTCACTTCCACCTATTTCACCTTTGTGATCGTGATCCACATGATCCCGTCACTACATCGTAATCCACAAACTTTCACATGGTTTACGCACTTCATAACACGATTCACTTTCTTTAAATTGGTCCTGCCGCTACATCACAATCTACTTCCTTCCACATGTTCTTAATAATACGCTTCAACCATTTTCTAGTGGTCCTATCATTATATAATAATCCACCATCTTCCGAGAATTCTTCATACAGTACTTCATAACAAGTTTCAACCACTTCCAATCGGCCCAGCCATTACATCGCAATCTACTCCCTTCCACGTATTTTCCCATGTCATATCACGGTCTGCATACTTCAACTTGAACATTCTTTTCACGTCACAATCCACCCACTTCCACATGTCCTTTCCATTTTCTACGACGGGCCACCCTCTGTCATGGGATCTTGAGATTACACCACAATTTCCACCCTCTTCCACATAGGCTACTCACGTCACATCACGATTCACACACTTCACAGTACGCCGTTCTCTCCACATCACAATCCATCTTGTTCCACATGGTCTACACGTCACATCGCGATACACACACTTCACGGTGCACTATTCTCTCCACATCACAATCCATCTTGCTCCACATGGTCTACTCGTCACATCACGATTCACATACTTCACAGTGCACTATTCTCACCACATCACGCTCCATCTTGCTCCACATGGTCTACTCACAACCACTTAGCCGTGTTATTCGCCGCGAAGTCGACAAGCTTCTTGCCGTTCGAGAGCGCCGACGACCTGAATACGAGCCCTCCAGATGTGGTGTTCCCTGGTCCGTAGATTGTGGTCAGCACCGAGCACTTCATTTCCTGAGATCAAAGCCATTGATTTATTTTAAAATCTGTAGCAAGTAATTTGTTCTTTCTTATGGAATTTTTTCATGCCTAAAAGATGGATTTATCATGCGGCACAGCGAATAATAGCTGACGGTGTGAATTCGTATATTGAAAGGTGATAAAATAAATCAGGAATTTCTATCAGAAGTATCTCATAGTATAGAGTATATATTATTGTTAAAAATGATGCGTTCAATTATATGTTGGTTGATTGGGCGCAGAATAAGTTTTATTTTTAAACGCCATTGCAAATGTAGTGAAATATTGAATGGACCACAATTTATCACGAATTACTACAACTTACAGCACTGTTATGAAGTGTTCGTGAAATCCAACAATTAAATCGGGTAAAGAAATTAATAAAATTATGAACGAATTAATGTAAATTTTGCAAGCACGTTTTTCTGACACTAATTACGCATAGTATTATATACAGACCCTAATTTCTGCATTCTTCCTAAATGACACACGTGTTCAGTAACGAATCTTTTTTACTTCCCGTTTATTGAGACTCAATAAATTCTAATAATTGACTGAAATTTCTCTAGCTTATATTCATTTTCTAAATTACTTCCTTTGAATTGATATTTATTAATTACATGATTAAAATGGAAAATAATATTCGGGAATGCCAAGCTCGGGTCAACGAAAAGCGGAAATTTTTAGTCAATAACAAAATATTTATAATCATATTAACATTTTCACCACATAATTTCATCCCGTATTTTATCTCCTCTTCATAATTTTTTTCATACGATTAAAAGTTTCTGACCCGCGCTTCGTGCCATACGAACGCCCCACAGGTCGGCTCAATAAGGCAGAGGCCAGCGCAGGCTGCTGGAGAGCCTGCAGGATAGCGTGACTCCTCAGCGCTAAACTCAAGCGACGTCAACTCGAATGTCATCGACTTTTGTGATGACGCTAAGCCAGCAGTCACATGAAGCCATATCCACGCTATTGGCACCATCATAATCATTTTGTGTGATAATCTGTTGATTCAAATTTTTTATTTTAGCTTTGTATTCCTTACGTTTAGATTTAGAAAGATTATTTGTGTTTGTTTAAACCAATACAAAACTGATACAATGCAACTCATAAAAAATTACAAAATATTAACATTACTCCATAACGACGATTCTGAATGTTCTTTTACCGATTTGTTGCTGAGTGCAATACCGTGTGTTGATTTAGGCAAAAAAGTTTACCCGTGGAATAAAGAAAAAACTGTGTGAAGGTCCAATAAAACTTAAACCGCTGTAATTTTTTACAAAGAACACGATTAAGAGAGAGAAACTATGTAGAGAACAATATCGATGCCTAGAGACAAGCACAGACTCCTGACTCATGATTTCAAGATTAATAAATGTTTTAGAAATAAATGATGGAAAGTTCAAAATGAATGAATGAATGAAAGTAATGAATGAAAAAATGTATGAAATTACTTCAAAATGAATGAAATTAATGAATGACATATATCAATACATTTTGAAATAAAAACTACACGCTAGAAGCGAAGACAAAACTTTTAAAGTCAGCAAACCAGACAGGTTTGTTCAGAGGGTCCTGTTCATATATCTGCTGGGGATTTTGAAATCCAATTTGAACTCTGGGGCTTTAGTTTCGCTGTGGCATGCTCTCCAAACAGAGGCGTAAAGATTTTGCTTGGTGAAATCAAGTTTCACGCCAAATGAGTATGAACAAGCTGAAAAGTTAAGTAATTCTTAGAGTAATACATACGTGTAATTACATAACTATATATGTGTAATTCACACGGTGAAGGTTTCTTTCCCTTCTGCTCACAATGTGCAACTTTGTATTCATCCATATTTCAGTATTCTTAGCTTAATACTAGGTTATTTTTTACTTGCAAACGCAGTCACTTTACATTGAAAGCCAGGGCTAGTCACGCAAAACGAGCTTCACCTCAATAATTTGGTGAGTTTAGCCACCATACTATTTTCTGTAGCACCTTATACGTGCTTTGTACAATATTGCGTATATATGTGTTTTATATTCGTCATAAATTATTGTCTTAGAAGATGTTTCGCGTTCGGGAGAAATCGCTGGCAAGATAACGCTGGCAAGAAATTTGAAACACAACGCGTCTCAAATTATTCCCCCAGAAACACAAGAGGGTCGATAAGCTAGGCCCCTTAACACACACAGTCAGTTCTGAAATATGACATTCTTAAACATTATTTAGACATTTGAAGAAATGCGCAATTCATTAAGTGTGTAGACAGTTCATTAGAGCTTAGGTTACAGGCAAATAATTAGAATAGACGAATAGTAGAGACGACTGCAGATCTCTAGTAAATACAGGAAAAGCCGTAAAATTAATAGATGTCACAAAATAGTGGCTGTTTTGCACTATTTTTCACTGGGAGAAAGTCTGGCGAAAAATTGAGCTGCTTTTAAATATTTTACACGATGTTACCTTTGTCGCTCTCTGTTTTGTAGCTCATTTAATTGACTAAATGGGAGGAGGGGTTTAATATTTTTCATTTTATATTATGGGGAATATTTGCAAATTCATTTCATTATTCGAAATTATCAAACAGGAAAAAATTTCTACTGCCGTGCACATGGGTATGTTATTTTTTATTTTATTATTATTATCATTTCGACTGACCAAACATAAATTGGATTGCATAAAAATGAATTTGCCACATATAAAAGTTTTTAATACCCTTATTTTACTGTTCAACACAGACGGAAAAAATGTACATTGGCGGAAGAAATGCATAGAGAAGATAATTATAATTGAGAAATAATAATTTTTACAACACTTCTCTTTAACTTCACTCCTTGTTGTTTGTTTGTTTGTCTGCTACAAATATTATAATCGATATTTAACACACTTCTACCTCTCCAATCGATCTGAAATTTTGCAAACTTGCGTAAAGATGGTGACAATGCTAGAATGAATAGACAGAATAAATAATTTTAAAAATTTAAAGCTTTTAATATTAAAGAATAATTTTACAAATAATTTTTTTAAATATTAGAAAATAAAATAAGAAATTCATAGTACAAGTGTAACATTGGAGACACTGGCCTCTTTAGAAGTGTTGTCTTTAAAAAGTAATTTTTAAACGCATATTCTTTATACGTCAGTCATATTGCGTGCGAGAACTACAGGTCATATATTTTTGTTCGCAAGTTAGGAATACTTCAACTAATTAAGTCTCTACGGCTGTACGCAGACCACGTTAGGAGCACCAGTAATGTCCGAGTCACAATCTAGCCAGTATGGATTGAAGAAGTCCACCATCAGACACTTGGGATAAACAAAGAATTCATAGGCCGGAAAACCGCTCCCGAAAGCTGACAAGTCGACGTGTTTGGAGTCATGGGTGCTAATTACGAGTTGGAATAATGGCAAGGGTTTTGATTTTTGAACATCCAGGGCAACTTTGCCCAGAGAAGCGATGATGTTGACGTCCCTAGAGTTGGAAGGAGAGTGTAGCATCTCCAAGTTCTGAGCTTGACATGCCTGAAGGTGATCGCTGTGGAGAAATCGTGATAATAATAATGTTGTCCCAAATTATTGAGGCGAAAATGTGTCGTGTCGCTTGTGCATCAACAATAAATGTATAACATTACTTTTAATGGTAGTAATTTTAGGTTGTCTAGAGACTGGTTGAAACTGTTTGCTTGAAAAGTGGTCGCACTGAGTGACTGATTGAATCTTCAAGCTCAATAGTAAATGGTAAAAGGTATTCATTATTCACACTGAGTTCTGAATATCGCCGAACTCAACAACTGAATGAGCACTAGCCTTATGATCAATGGTGGGCTGCTCTAACGCTTATGTTCACAATGATGAAAATTATTGACGTAAAATCTGGCGAATTAAAATATCGAATCTAACTTCACATTTCTATTCATTCCGAGACTGACGTATAAAGTATAAATAATTTAGCTATCGTGGTTATAATGAAGAGTTTTGATGGGGTACCGAGTAATGTTTCAATTTGCGATCCAATATTGAACTGTCGACAGTAAAGTATAACCAGATTATTTTGAATTAATCTTAATTTGCAAGCGTAAAATCAGGCCTGTACAAGAGCACCTGAATTTCTGTTAGGATTTAATTTAGATTTTTTATTCAAATTTGTTCGTAATTTGTTTGCATAAGTTTTTACATTGAATGTTATCAAATAAACCAAAGTCCAAGAAAATTTTGTGAAACAGCTTGAAATGTGGCACAAAATGTTAAATATTATCTCTAAAAAATGAACTGTCAACTTACCTCCAAGTTGGATTGGCTGGTGCTGGTAACAACGCTATACGCTGCCCAGACGAGAGGGCCAACGGGGCGTAGAAAGTTCCGTTTGAGGGCGTCGACATCGCACCGTATATTCTTTTAAAAATCTTACATTTCGGCTCCTGCTCATTAAAATTTCTCATCCTTAAATAGATAAAATCTTGCTATCATTTTCAAAATTATTTCAATTAAGTCTTAAGCAAGAGGTATTGTAGCCCAAATCTTTGTAAAAAATTGGTCATATGATCGAGCGGAAGGTTGCTGTTGCATCTGGGACAGTTCAAGTGGTTAAAGCCGCATGCAGCATTCTCATAACTCTTAGAATTTTAGGAGTAAAATATTTAGAATTCATATTTCAAGTTTGGATGCTGGATCTCAACCATTTAAAAAAGTCGTATTATTTTGCGATAGATTTTCGAGGAACTCTAGTTACGAAGGCTTCAGTTGATATAAATAAAGAACTCACCTTATTTTTAAACCAAGCGAAGGCCCCACACGTCGGCAGAGTGAGGCAGACGCTGCCGCAAGCAACGATGTTGTCAACGTCAACCAAAATTTCATCGCCTGCGAAGTGCCGCGTCCTCGGCACGAAGGTGAACATTGTGGCCGTGACGTGGTTCACGGTCACCAAAAACACGAATAGTTTTTGCTTCATATCTTTGGTCAGCATTTCGATTGAACATGAATTGAGTCGTAATGTTGCAAATTTTCAGAAATGAATTTCAAAACTTCAAAATAAAATATCATTTAAAATTTCAAAATAAAAATATCATTTAAAGTTGGTGCAAATGTAGTGCGAAACGATGAATAAAAATATTATTAATCGAGCTTTTAATTTAAACAAAAAATTAATTTAATACTTAAAAATTTCAACGTGTTTCCCATTGTATAGTGGGAAGTTTTTCGCAATTATTTCCGAGAAATTTATTGGCGACGTATTTGAATGATAACAAACAACAATATTTCATGGATATGTTTTTTTTCTTAGTAACAAGGCTTATTAATTGCAGGTTTTAGATTTGCAGTATGAGATATTAGTCCCTATATATTCGTTAATACGTGGATCAGGTAAGATGTTTATAAATTGAGTAAATGCATATTATTTTCTCGATTCTAGCAAGCGGTTCATGTAAGATGTAGAAGCGGTTCATGTAAGATGTCTTGTGAGTACGGGGTTGGATATTGGTTCCTCCATTTTATGGCAAGCGGTCTGAATAGGATGTTGGTTTATTGCTTTGAGGTCGGGATAATGTTGACTTCTATTCAACGAGAAGTCCATGTAAAAGGTAAATTTTATAGTTTTATGTTGGAAAGTTTGGATATTATCTTCCTTTTGTCAACAAGCGGTTGAAGTACAATATCAGGAGATCCAGACGTAAGACCCAACCTAGAGGCCATTTCTTCGACGTCTCTAACAAATTTACGGCCGGACTTGGGGCCGGTCTAGCGGCCGGTGTCCAAATTCAGTGAACATGGGATAGCTCCCAAGGTAATGAACGTAGCACGATAAAACTTGGTACATGTATTCATTAGGACCTAACGGTGATGTTTAGCTCGTGAAAATTTTATAAATTTCACCTTCATTCGTGAGTTATATGAAGATGCGCGCCCATATTTGCAGTGAGCATGACATTTATTCTAAACTACTGTACAGATTTGAACGAAACTTTGAATATAGAAACTTAACCTCCCAACGGTGATGATTAGCTCCTGACAATTTATTCGATTTCGCCTCCGTTTGCGAGTTAAACGGATATAGGGAGAAATGACCGGCATTTCTCAGGCCGATTTTTATACTTACATTGACCAAGAGCCGTATACCTGAAGCCGTATAACTCGCAAACGAAGGCAAAATCGAAAAAATTGTCATGAGCTAAACATCATCGTTAGGTTAGGTTAGGATTCTATATTCAAAGTTTCGTTCAAATCTGTACAGTAGTTTGGAAGAAATGTCATGCTCACCGCAAATTTTGGCACGTATCGTCATATAACTCACGAATTAAGGTGAAATCCAAAAACGTTTACGAGCCAAACATCACCGTTAGGTCCTGATGAATAAGTTTTCGGAATAGAATTTTACTTGACTGAGCAGACCTAAGGTTTTTGAAACCAAATAAATTTGTTGCGATAGTTCATCATAGTTATGAAGTTAAATAGTTCCATGATGTTCTGTACAAATTATTTACAATGAATTTTTTTAGAGGATATGGCTTTTGCAGACATGGGACTGCAAGCTATGGCTACTAGCATTGCGCTCTGTGCCTTATATATATACTAAATTGCACTAATATGCACTAAAATCCATAATTTCTTGTTTGGTCAAGATCATAAATTCATAGAGCTATGTCATTATTTTGCCTTCAGTATCATAGATTTGCCTAACCCACTAATTTGTTTCAAATTTCGCAAGTTTCTGTAGAAAATATTTAACGTTTCTGCACTCATTTATAGGATATCAGAGTAAAGCATGCAATTACTCACCACATAATGAGGATATTGAATAGACAAACAATTCATACTAAACAATGTTTTTTCCAACTACAATCTTGAAAGTACTACCTACTTTTCTCCGGCCTTACTTTATAATTTTATAAATTCACGCGAATAATGAATGATGTATAATCTATTTTTCTTATGACTTTGAACAAGACAGAGTATATTCATTGAAGAGAAATGTTTTGCACATAGAACGTTAAAATTTCACGTTTTTCACCACAGTGACGAATTGCATGTCATCCACTTGGCCGAGCCGTTGTGGCACTAAACTTTTGTTCCCGTGGATCAAGATCGTGGAATTTATTTAGGGGCATCAATAACTTTAACAATGCAGCTAGGATTGAGTGCCAAAGGTTTGAATGAGTGATAAGCTTTTCGTCTTAAAATTGTTATGGAGAATAATGATAAATTGAACTACTATAATATATTGACATGAGAAACTCATTGAACACAAGACGAACAAAAATTCAACAATGTACTTGGCTCGCAACTGGCTTGAAAAATATGGAAATTTGACAAATATTCCATAAAATTATATAAATCAAATAATTATGATTAAACGTTCAGGGGCCTATTCCATCGAAATCGAACGTTTCAGCAAAATGTTTGTCCTCATTCATGACAAAGTGTTAAGTTAGTATGTACTATATATCGTCGTTCGACGGAACTTTACATTCACGTTTCAGTTTAAAAATACAGTAATAACATATGAAAAAGTTGATATTGAGTACCATGAACGATGAAAGAATACTCCAGAAATGTTTAGATTTTACTCGAATGCCTTAATTTGTATACCATTTGCCAAAATACTTATTGCTGTATTTCCCAGTATATCGTGAAGTGGACCAGAAAGGTGTTTCCGGCTTTCTGAAAGTTGTTCTTTATGAATGATCGCTTGGTCCAACTCTCTATACTGAAAGCAACAAAATCTTTAATGCGTCGGACGAATTAGGAGTTTTTTTTTTTGCCTGAATTAGGAGTTGCCTGAAAGTTTCAAGTTGGCTTCGTAACCTAAATACTGAGGACCAGAATCTTTCTTCTGATTATGCGTTTTTCAAAGAGGACTTCAAACTTTTTCCTCGAGTTGTATGCCGCAGAAAAAAATATGCTTAAGGGCTTATAGAACTGGTTGGCCTACCTGCAGGACGGCAGACATGACAGGCTGACCTACTCTATACAGTCTCCGGCAGCCGGGCTGCGGCTTGCCCGCTTTCAGTCACCAGCGACACTCCAACGTGGGAGGTTGTGCGGCCCAAACGCTGCAGTAGTGACTGTGACTGGAGCTCAACATTCTTCCTTAATTTCTAGCAAAACGAGGAAAACTGTAAGCCGGCTTATTGAAAATCGCGCGTTACAGACTAAATGTTAATAGGCAAAAATGCGACTTCGTCAATGCTCTATGGTTGAATTTAAATTAAAAGATGACATATTATTAACTTCATTTTTTCGTGCGTTTCATTTCTGTGAAAATTTTTTTTATTTAATATTTTTTTAATCGATACTATAACCTAAGTCAAAATTTTGAGTTTCCGTAACAAGATTTTACTGTGTAATCTTTTGTTGTAATAATAAAAGACAACTCCATGATTGAGAAAAACTTAGGTGAACGGCAGAACAATTTTTAAACTCACACTGTATTCAATAACTGCATGACGAGTGCTTGAAGAAAAGGAAACCAAAATAATTGAACGGAGCGACGAGCGAAATGAATGGATAAAAGAATACTGACTGTTACTTATGAGTTTTTCGAACAGTTTACTACTTTAAGGTGAAAGTAATGCAATTCAGAAATTATTAACCTCTTAAACAAATAGTACAGGTATATAATTTATAGGAATTAAGTCGTTAATGAGTGAATGAAGTAACGAATTAAATAATTTTTATCAATAGGTCTACCGTTATAGCAGGCCCAATCTCGGACAATGTTCTGATAGAAATTAGAAGATGTCCTTCATTCTGAGAATGCAGCTGCTGCTGCTGCTCTGTGTTGTGGCGGCATCTGCTGCATCTGTTCGGTCAGGTGAGTTTAGTATTCTATAATTATTAAAACGTTTTTAACACGTTTTTCTTAGCTTAGCTTCGCGTTTGTTTGTTTGTTTGTTTGTTTGTTTGTTGTTAACATTAACAACGAAAATTAGCCCACTTCTGATTGCTCTAGAGATCTGAAATTCGGCATGCAGGCTATTTTCGCCTAACAATTTCAGATACAATCATAAAAACTAGCAATTAGAGACCTAAATTAGCTTAATTGAGTAAAGTATATATTAATAGTATATATATAGTATGACGTGCGGGCGCTGACGTTATAGACGAGCAGTGTTGTGTGCTTTTCGCTTTAATCATAAATCTGCCCGACACACGTTTTTTTTGGGGCGAGCCATAATTTATTTTCTACTTTTTAGTCCACAAGAAAAACGTGGTTTTTCAAAAAGTTTTTTTTTAAAGTATTTTATTCTTAGCTTAGCTTCGCGTTTGTTTGTTTGTTGTTAAAATTGACAACGAAAATTAACCCACTCTGATTGCTCTAGAGATCTGAAATTCGGCATGCAGGCTATTTTCGCCTAACAATTTCAGATACAATCATAAAAACTTGCAATTAGAGACCTAAATTAGCTTAATCGAGTAAAGTATATATAAATAGTATATATATAGTATGACGTGCGGGCGCTGACGTTATAGACGAGCAGGCGCTGACGCTGCGTATCATCGATACGTACGTCAAGTCTTGCTTTTTAGTCCGTGCAGCAACGGACTAAAAAGGAGAAAATAAAATACTTAAAATTACTTTAAAAAAAACACGTTTTTCTTGTAGACTAAAAAGTAGAAAGTAAATTTTGGCTCGCCCAAAAAACATGTGTCGGGCAGATTTATGATTAAAGCGAGAAGCACACAACACACGAATTTTGGAAATTTAATGGTGAACGAACAGCCCGACCCACGTTTTTTGGGGCGAGCCATAATTTACTTTCTACTTTTTAGTCTACAAGAAAAACGTGTTTTTTTAAAAAAAGTATTTTTAAGTATTTTATTTATTTTTATACATAACCACTTGTCAGATTTTTCGTCAGAATATGTATATTTCATCGGATTAATTATATTATTTTGCGACTAAAATTCCTGTTTTTAGCGCATTTTCT